CATTGGACAGCGCCTGCTTCAATCCATCGGTGACGTTCTCGGTAGTTGGCACCTTACTGGAGGCAACGACATGACTTCCTTGCAAACAAACAGCATCGGTGTTGGTCCCGCCCACATCCACGCCAATCACGAACAATTCACCTTTATCACAAACAAAGTATGAAATGTTTCCCACGGTCAAAGTGAGATTTATTAATAAAGAAACAAAGCTCCTATAAATATATATCATGAATTATAAAACATTAATGTGGGCTACAGTAAAATTGATATCTGTTAACTAGAATTAATAAATACCTTGGAGAGTTGATGGTTTCTGATTGGTCGAGACTCGATCACGTGGCCGGGCATTAACGGTGATAATGGACCGGCTTCAAAGATCAAGCGAATAAATGGCCCCTGAACCAGCATTGATCCAGCCCCGTTCAGCCCCATGCAAGCCAATGATTGGTCAAATATAGTAACAGTCCTGCGGTAGCTTGTAACAATAGAGCACTGCACATGCACTCAACCCCCATCGCGTGAGACTGACGCGCGCGTATGCAAAACAGTTGCTAGGGATGCGTGCGTGCGCGTGCGTAAGGAAGTTTTGAAACGACATCGTACAGCAGTGCAGTATATACTGAGAATGTTTACGACGAAAGCGTAGATCTACGATTTATTTTCTTTGAACACTTCACCCACCGACATATTTACCTTTCCTAAACCAAGCATCTTTGTAATTCTGGACACAAGGAATGTGTAAACAAGATTTCAGCTTCCTCCATCAGGTAAAGATATGAAAATATTGTTGTAATTTGTTTCGCTCTGGCAGCAGTTTCTGTTGAGTTTACGTCGTTATAGCTGTTAAGCTAAAATATGGCCCATGAACATGAACACAAAAAAGTCTGGAAATATCGCCGACAGAAAGTCACAAAACTGGAGCATTTTAACTGTTTATTTCGTTAAAAAGGTGTTTATTAATGGGAATAACAGTGTGAGGATCCGGTTTTCACTGCGTGAAAATGACCGGGTGTGGGGGTGACCGCTGTTAATGGACCTTGACTTCGTCTCAGTCCATTAACAGCGGTCACCCCCACGCCCGGTCATTATCACGCAGTGAAGACCGGCTCCTCACACTGTTATTCCCTTAGTAATAGACGCCATGTGCAAAAATTGAAAAATATGACGTTTGCTGCCACCAATCATCTCAAGAGTCTCCCATTCCTCTTGTCTCGAAAATGACAGCATACTATATAGGCACAATGATTTTACACCATGCTTGATACTAAATAAGGGAATAAATGTGTGCTTGGCCAGTTTTAAACACTCTGTTTAAGACCGGTTGGAGTCTGGATGCTGATAATTATCCGAGCTGAAACCATTCATACATACCTTTTCGGTCGAAAAATTCACAACTTTTCGGTCCAAAAGTCAAAACAAGTTTACTTCATGTTTTTCGAAACACCCCTGTAGCTATAATGTGGTAGTCTCCATGTTGTAAACAACGCCTTAAACAGAGATTGGCACGCGCGTTGTGCGTACTGCACGATGTTGCACAGAACGCAGCTGTGCCGGTGAAGTGTGAATTTAGGACTATGAAGCTACGTGTGCATGTGAACGTTCAACCAATAAAATGGTAACTGAAAGGCACTGGATTTCAAAGGAGTCAAAATTCCATGTGACACTCCAAAAGCGTCTAAGACCAGTCTGCTGGTCTATATCAGCCATTCATAAATACCTCAGACAGTTAAGCCATTCCTATTGGTCGAGAGCCCGTCACGTGGCCGGTATTAAACGGATGATAAAGACATGGCTAGCTGGTCTTAAACACTTTTCCAGTGTCACAATAAAATGTGGACTCCTAAAAATCCAGTGCCTCTTATCGTTTCATTGGTTGAACGTTCACAATCCTCACTTAGGCATGCGCAACACTACCAGGGAGTTAGAATTTTATAGTTCTAAATTCAAAACGCAACGCGCCAGGTGCGTTCTGCGCGACATCGCGTAGAACATGATACGCGCGCGTCAATCTCCATAAAAGGGTTGTTTTCATCTTACTCGCCAGCTGAACACTCCATTATTTTGCAGGAGGGATGTTTCAAAAAGCATAAAGTGAATTTGTTGAACAAAATCGGGATGTTTTGAACGAATTATATGATTTTTTTTTACCGAAAAGGTATTTATGAATGGGAATAAATATGTACTCCGTCGGTATTTATCACTCTGTTTAATACCACTTAGAGTCTGGGTGCTGATAATTACCCTCGCCTCCGGCTCGGGTAATTATCAGCACCCAGACTCTAAGTGGTATTAAACAGAGTGATAAAAACCTCCGGAGCACACATTTATTCCCTTATTCAAAACCGGCCACGTGACGGGCTCTTGACCAATAGAAACGGGTAAACTGTCTTAGGTATTTATGAATATTACTTAATTACAATCAAGTAGGATATTTAATACTTGATAATTGGAGAGTTTCATTTTGATTGTTTGCAAACGGAGTCCATTACCTGGATTTAGGATGCAATAATGTACGTACTTTGCAATTTAAAATTTGCGAGGCAATGGAAGGTAACATGCCACAGGAGTTGGCTCTTTATTTTGAACTTTTGCCCCGAGTATGATAGATTGAAGTACTTGTTGCAGATCTGAATTGGTCAGTCTAGGGACACCATCCTTTTAGAAGTTAATTGCCATCTAGTTCTAGAAGTCTTGGACACCCGATGATGCGACAAACACGATGTGATGCACTTACAAGTTGGAAAGATCGTAAACTACTTCAATTTCCATAGAGAATGTTACACCCCAACTACAGCATCGTCCCAAAAAGTCAGGACAGTTAGGATCTTGACGTCCCAACTATAGTTGGGATTGTTCCATTTGTAATCAGAGTGGTCCCAACTATAGTTGGGGCCATTGCTATGTAGTTGGGACACAGACTGGGACCTTGAGTGCTGAAAAACATGCAAAATGAAATCAGGCCAACTTCTTTGGCAAAATTCTCCAAAATTTTCATTGGGCAAAGAAAAAGGCCTCAGTATTTCACCAACCAAGTTTGAAGACTCAATTCAATGTTTAAAGCAGACTTTTCTTCAATATTTTGCACCTGAGAGGGAAGTCAAGTGATTTCAAAATGAGGCTAAAGACTAGACTGGTATATGTCCAACCATGGTCCAACTGTTTGAAAAGACTGACCTCTTCATTCATTGTCATTATGGCTGACTATGGAGAAATGTGTAGAAATAGAGACTAGTACCAGACATGCCAGATGTTTCTTTAGGCACAGTTGATGCAGTACTGAAGGGTTGTGGGACTGGTTGTTTTAGGTGCCAGTCTATTTTCTTGTATTACATGTTTTCAATACCTTAAGTTTTGGGACTCTCATACACAGTATGATAGTCCCAAATTTTCGGACTAGTTGGGACATAAATTGCCCACTCACCTTGTGTAGTTGACATTGTGGCCTTACAATTGCCTCATGGAAACCAATGATCTGCAAAACACATCAAGCTCTGACGAGAGAAAAAATGTAGAAACAAATGCTAGATTCATAAATTAATAATAAATCTCACAGCATGTGTGATTGAATAGCTAATTGTTAAGACATCAGCATGTGACTGCATAGTACTGAGCAAAAGAAATGAACCAAAAAACTTTCAAGACTCGCCATAAACTTTGTACACATCCGCAAAGTGCTGGCTTTAACCGACAACATTCTTTCCGATGAACGGCTCAAATTAAAAAAAAAAAAAAAATGTGGGGGGGGGGGATCCTATTGGGGGAGGTGGGGGGGGGGGGAAGGGGTTGACCGATGACTTTGGGCCTTGGGGTAATTTTTCCCTCTACAGATTATCACCTCTGAAAGCACTAGTCCTAAAGTCCATCATCCTTTGGAAAAATAAATCCCCAACCACACTGCAAAATACTACAGCGATTTGCAGGTCCAATCTAAATTTTAACCGAAATATTAAGACAGGTGTTGACCGAAGTACTGGGACCCTTCATTTTGAATCTAACAACTCTTAAGTGCAGAGCCACAAACTCTCTATGCGTATGAAGAGAAAAACAACAAGCAATTTGGGGCCTAGTTACTGGTCTGCACCCAGAACGGATCCAACCAGACTAGCTAGCCCACTCGTGGCCCGAATATTTGCTGCGCTATGCAAAATACAGCGTAGCCCCCCATATGCATTTGAAATACTGGACTTCCACTCACTGGCTCAATCCGTATTCTGGCAAAAACTCTTTTTTTAACAATTTAAGGAAAATTGTAAATTCTCTGTATTTTTTAATCTGTGATTCTGTATATCTTGTAACATTTTGATATCAGCCAGTCAGTGGAGAAGTGTAATAAAATAAAATAAATAAAATTTTGCCAGCCACACACCAATGTGTGCTAAGTATCCTGAAAAGTTGTTTCTTTCCCGAAATTTGAAAATTAGTTTTTTAACCTCATATTCACTATGGAAACTACTTACCTGGCTAATTTCCCAGGTGAAATTAAAAGATCAAAGACGTTGCTAATGTCCTCTGTTTTTAGTAGGGCCTATGTGCAACTTTTATGATGTTTCTCGGCTGCTATGGTCCAATGGTAATAAACCATTTCAAATATAGGATATAGATATAGATATTGTAACGAACCGTTGCGGTCAAGGACTTAAACTCACGCGAGTGGGCTAGCTTGGCTGAACAATCTTGGGAGAATTACAGAACTAAACTAAAGGCCGGGGAATTGGACTCAAAGAAAGGAATAAACAAGGAGACGGGTTGATGATTCACTGATCAAAGTTTCTGGTCATGTTCCATCCACAACTAAACTGTTTTAGAACTAGGTAATAACTTACACACTATAACGAGAATAAGGAAAAGGCGATGAAGTTGACTGTAACGTATAAAAAATGTTGATGCTGCTTCCCCGACGGCCAAACTCAAACTGCCAAATTTTAGGCGGGAGCCTAATATTTGGCCAAATTGCAGTATGTGCGCGCAAGGTCCCTGGGGCCGGGATCCTGGGGCGTGTTTTGGCGGCCGTAACCAATAGCTGTTTCGGTTGTCGGTCACCGGTTGAGCGTTTTAGCGACCTCGGTTGTGCTGTGATCACGTGACTGTTCCGACCAAAGTTGAACCAAGAGCCGGGCCTGGTTGCCACTCGAGAAATAAAGATGGCGGAAAGGTAAATATTGCAAACTTTTCCGATTGTTGTTTATTTTTTAGGTTTTTGTTGTTGTAGAATTGTATTTGAAATGTATGAAACTGAAAAATACAACCATGCAGATCAATTAGTGGAAAAATGTCAACGTATCACTTCTTGGAACTTGTTGAAATAGAAAAGAGAATTCTGTCGTCTGCAATTCAGCGTATCGACTGTCGTCTGCTGCTGTGTTTAGCGTTGCGCACTTCGACTTTCACTTGACTTTCCTCTCTCGGCATTGCTAAACCTCTTTGTTGGAAAACTTAAAACGCATTAGATTAAAAACTGGTACTATTAACTTAATGATACATGGTGTTGAACCTTTGTGAACAATTTCAGTGTCATGAAATTGTCCGAAATCCAAAAATGTCGGCGTCCGGAAATTGGGCTGAGCTTTCCCTAACTTGGCGCACTTGAAAAAATCTCAGAAAATTCCACAAAAACTTTAAGAAAATTCTTTAATATGATAAATTCTTGTAAAACATCTTAATTTCCACTCAGATACCCATCCACAAGTTAGTCAGATTTTTTTCCCGTATTTTTGGGCACATTTAAACAAAAGAGTTAATTTTGCACAGTGTCAGAAAAAAACCGCAAAAATGGTCACAGAATGGGTTAAAAACGTAACAAGACTAACGTTAAAACGTTCGCAGTGGCTATTGTTACGGCAGCCGTAACGCATTTCCCATTTTCTATCGTTACGGTAGACTGCAACTTTTATAAAAATATGACAAGAAAATATAAAATTAGAGGGAAAAAAGTGAATTTGAACGTGATGAAATTCGGACTTTATTTCCCTTTAAAAAAAAATCCTCCAAAGCCTCAGGTTAGAAAAGGAAAAAAATTCGAGTGCCAAACCGAGATTCGAACCCGCAACTTCGCGGTGCAAAATCCTACCCTCTATCGACTGAGCTGTCGCACTGCTCGTTAAAATGCGGGGAAACAAATAATTATATACCTGCGTGCGTATCAAAAAAGTATCGTAGAGGGCGCTAAAGAACGACTGCCGTAACGATAGCCACTTCGTAAAACGTTTTTAAACGCGTTAAACTAGGTGTGTTTACATTGTCATTTGATGCATGTATAAATGTAGGGTAGGCCTATTGGTTTTAAAACTATAGTATTAGGCTAATTCATATTTCAGCTATTGGAGAACAGTTACGCTGTGCCATGCTGGCCAGGAGTATAGTGTCACTCTGGATGGGCCAAGCGCAGCCAGACTGCTTTCTGGAGGTGAGTTATAATTACCGTCTTGGACATTGAAGCTGCGTATATACTGAGGCACAATGCAGCAGCCACGACTTAGCATTGTAGAAACACAGTGGCCGTCGTTAGTACTAGTAGTTTTTTGTTGGGGGGGGGGGGGAGGGGGTGATCTAGCTGTGCCTTTTTTATTGAAAACTGCCGTAATTATAGCCACGGCATTTTAGGAGATACCCAGCAATTCACAAGCAAGTGAATTTCAAATTTTTGAAGTATTATCCATATCACTGCAAATACAAAAATTGTGATTGGCTTCCACTTCATATGTTACATTCAAGGGTGACAGTTAACTGAAGCAAATTTATATATTCACATGTTAAAGAGAAGCTATTTTCAAACAAGAAACCTTCCCCACTGACAGTTATGTAGTTTTATGGTCCTGCAGAACAACGACAACAGGGACATGATTGTACTTGTATAATTGAATTCTTAATTATTTCTTTAAAAAACCATTATATTTACTCATGCACCCTTTTTGTCAATTTACATGGTTATTGTTTGCGTTTACTTTCAGATGTAGAATTTGCAGAGCGGGTTCTGGAAAATGTTAAGAAAACACAGGGAGGTAAGTGTGGTACATGTACTTGATGATCATTGTGACTCTGAAGTCAAAGAAAGTAGAAGAAAACTGTAATTCTGCCCAATTTTAGCCTCATTGTCCAACCAAATTCATCTTCAATTCATTTTAGTCTCTTACACAGCAATGACTAGGTAACAATTCAAAGCTGCAGCAAATATGGATGAATTGTACATGTAAAATAATTTGTGTTTGATTTAGAAACTGATGTATCGGCAACTTTGCCCACGGAAACTGTATCGGCAACTTTGCCCACGGAAACAGATGTATCGGCAACTTTGCCCACGGAAACAGAGTCATCAAGCACCAATGAAGGTAAATATATTAATATTTTGAATACAGTATATAAATATTTTGAATACAGTATATAAATAGAATATGTATGTACGATTCTAATTTGACCTAACAATATTCGACAAACAGACTGAAAGACAAACAAATATGGACAAGCAGACAAACAACAGAAATTCATTAGGATATCACTGCATTAATTTTTACACATTTCAGTGGCTTCCAAATACGTTTGGACTGGCAACAAGTCAGAAGCTGGACGAAAGCAGGACAGAGCAGCCACTTTCCAGCTTCTGGACATTGTTGGTTCCGATAAATATAGACAAATGTTCAGAGATGATAAGACTAGGAAGGCGTCAATATGGAAGCAAGTGGTAGTGGAAATGAAAAATGCTGGCATCAAACTTGATGACGACAACAAAACAGCAGCACACAAATGTGATCAGAAGTATCGCAATTTAGAGCGCCAATACAAAGATTTTGTCCAATACATGAACACGACCGGTAAGGGCAAAAAAAGTAAACCCGAATACTATGAGGAAATGGCTGCCCTTTGGGGAGACAAACACACTGTGAGGCCAGTGGCTCTTGTGGATACAATACTTCCTCAGGTTGTGACGGCACCAGAAGAGGCTAACATGCCTGAATCTGTACGGCCGAAACCTAGTGTTGCAAAAAAAAGGAAATCCAAATCTTCAGAAATTGTAGAGATACTTGGCAAAATGCAAAAAGAAGACCATGAGAGACAGACTAAAGTCATAGAGACTGTTGAGAAAATGTCAGAGGCCATAAATCAAAGGCATCAGCAACAGCTACAGGAAGACAGGGCCCAGTTTCAGGAATATGTCAAAATGCACAATGAAAAAATGGAAATGCAGCGTAGATTGATTGAGGCACTCACAAGCAAACATTCATAGGAAACCTCAATCACTTAATAAATGTGGACAAGGATAATCCTTAAGTAATGTTATTTATATAAGAAAACAAGTGAAAATGGTTCAATTATTAGAGTTCTTTCTCAGTAGTAAGAGTGTGTCTTTTAAATATACCACAGGGAGTAACTAAATTTGGAAGGAGTCTTCGTCAATAAAATAACACACTAAAACTTCCGTTTTGCATTAAGCAAAGTTTAAAACATATTTATTCCAAGCAGTGTAAATAAATAAATAAAAGATACAAGTAAATAAGTAACAGTTCTCCTGCGAAATTTGATTGAAAATGAAGTAAATAAAAAAAACCTGAAAAACAAAATTGTAACAGATAGACCTTTCAAGGTAGAGTACATCAATTGCAGGTATCCAAAAAGTAACTGACGAAAAATGCACAAATGACAAATGATATACTATACCTTTAACCGCTTAACCATTAAACTGTACAAACTTTAGTATAACTTATTCTATACAAATAATTTATTCTGCACCAACTTTAACATAAATTTTATATACAAATAAATTATTCTGTACAAGCTTTAATATATTTTATGAATGTTGCACATAATTTCATTCTACGACCGACCCCCCCCCCCCCCCCCCCCCCCCCCCGGTCCTCCTTAATTCATCCCTTATTTACCCCCACTCTTCGCTACCTTTGATCCCCACCCTTGGTACATGTGCATCCCCTGCTACACTATTTCTAATCCCTCTCTAGTGTTTCTCCCCTTGCCCTCAGCCCTGCTTGCTTGTGTTTGCCCCACGTTTAATTCTGTCATTTTGTCTTTTAGCCTCTGGAGAAGAACTTGCAAAATTTGAAAGGTCAGGACCCATTAATTTTTCAATTTAAACTTTATGTAATTTATTGTGTAGGAATAATTTATTCTGTACAAACTTAAAAGATACTTTTGTTTCTATACAAATATTCCATTCTGCAAAAAGTTTAATTACACTTCAGAAATGTATCAGTTAACAGCAAAGAGAAATTAAAAGTTGTCTTGAATTCATTATGAACCTTGTCCTACTGTCTCAGCTGTAATTGGAATCTTTCTTTTACATTCTAGTAAACGAATCAATAAATTAATATACAGAGTAAAGAGAATAGATTGTTCGATGAAAATTTTCTTGTTCTTGCACTCCTGTAGCTGATTTACGAAAAAGTGCACTGCTTGTGCCACTTTTAAAAGTGGCATAAGGCTAACGCAACAAAAACACTCTGCCTACAACAAGGAAAACTTTTGGTCCCAACTCCCTGCTATTCATTGTTATAATTCACGACAATATAAGGTCCCCGCCACAACAAGGCAAACTGCAAAGTCCCAAGGATCCCCCCCCCCCCTCCAACGAGGTTCAACTGTATAAGGACTGGCACTGTGTAAAAAATACATAAAAAATAATAAAAAATGGCAAGCAATAACAAAGCACTTCAGACTGAATTAGCTGCAATGGCACGGTAAATTTGATTCCGGAAACTTCCAAGCCTCACGACACCGAACACATCACATCTCCCATGGAGTCTGTTGTAGGTGGAAGAAATTCTACAAAGAAGGCCACGCTTTGTGACCTCAACACGACTCCATGGGACGTGTAAGATGTGTTCGTTTGGTCTGACCAGAGACAAACATTTTTTTTGGCCTTATACAAATCACAAAGATCTAGATATTCAGGGTACCGTTTTTGTTACCATTTAGAGTCGTATACATAAAAGACAGATATCGGCACTGAACCCGTTCCATCCTGGTTTCCTGGTAAGTAGAGATGGAATAACATACAACAGTACAATATTCCAAATGGGGTCTGATGAATGTACAGTACAAAGTGCGGAGAGTAAGCTTGTTCTTGATCTAAAATTGCAACCAGAGTACCAGACCAAATTAAACCAGACATACGATTAGCCTTCTTAATAATGTGATCTACCTTAGGGATCAAATTAAGCCGAGAATCAATCCAAATGCCAAGGTCTTTCTGCACAGTTACTCTCTTTAGAAGATTGTCATTTATGTGATAATTACATGCTACTGGCTTCCATTTAAGAGTCAAAGAAAGAACACTACACTTGTTGATATTTAAAAAAAGTTGCCAGTCTGAGGACCAAGAGGAAAGCCTATTCAGATTATCCTGTACAAGCGACATATCGGCAGAGGAGGTAATATGACAGAATAAGTTCAAGTCATCTGCAAACATTAAACAGCTGTTGGTTAAAAGTTTAGGAATGTCATTGACAAACAAAGTGAACAATAGAGGGCCAAGAACAGGACCTTGAGGGACACACCAGAGAAAACAGTATGCTATGATGAACACTGCCTTTCTACAACATATCTGTGTTTTCTATCACCGAGATATATCTACGTAATAAAAGAATAAGATTTTGGTGAAGATTATAAGAAGTCAATTTGTACAAGAGTAGATCGTGAGAAACTTGGTCAAACAGTAGCATGGAATAAAAACAAAGAAAAGAGGCCTAAAAGTCAATGTCAGAATTAACATTTACACAAATGTACATGTAAGATGTTACTTTCATATTATGATATGAGGTCAGCTAGTCAGAAACCCAGACTTGATCAATCTACTGGCTGTGTGTGTCAGAGTTGTAATGACTCAAGTCAATGACTCAACTCGAGTCCGACTCGAGTCACAATTTTTGGTGACTCGACTCGACTCGAGTCCCTGAGGGCAAATGACTCGACTCGACTCGAGTCACTGCGAGCAAATGACTCGACTCGACTCGAGTCCCTCATCAGAATGACTCGACTCGACTCGAGGAAGGCTAATGAGACTCGAGTCCCCAAAATAAAAGCAAAACTTTCCGAAAAATATTTGCAATGACTTACGCCGGTGCCGGTTTTTGTTCACGTCACGTTGGAATGTTCGCGAATAATGTATACATATACACACGTGGTTTGATCAGTGACCCCATTAGTTGAATGACGATCAGCTGGCACCCCTTTTTATTTTCATTAAGAGGCAAATGTACTGTCGCCACATGTAGAAGCCCGAATGTAAAATTTAAAAATGACTTTCTCTCTTGTGTTTATTTATTGTATAGTGCTCAAATATTTGACTCGAATTGACTCGAGCTAAATACTTGACTCGACTTGACTCGACTACACACTGTGACTCGACTCGACTCGACCGTCTTGACCTAATGACTCGACTCGACTCGAGTCACCTCTATATTAAAAATGACTCGACTCGACTCGAGTCACAAAAATCAGTGACTCGTTACAACTCTGGTGTGTGTGTACTCAGTCATTATTAACTATATATTACATATACATGTACTTAGAATTAGTACTGGTGCTGAAAGTGTTTCAAAAATAGCACAACTTTACGTCAGAATGCCACACTTCCATACCTACTGACAAAAATCAAAAAGTTATGCTTTAAAATTTGTTTGTTGTGTTTGGTCAAGCTATTATAGCACATAAAACATGGTCAGACTTGAGTCAAATTTACATACTGGCGACTAGGTAATTTCTCTTTATCTTCCCCTGACTGCTCTCAAAACCACACACTCTACCACTCCCATTCATTCCCACATCCATATCTTGAATCTCTAACAACTCATCACTGTCATTCATCAGACACATATTGTGTAATACACAGCATGTAATGATGATGTCAGGGATACTTTCCACTTTACAAACAACCATTTTCAATCTGCGAAACCTGCCCTTCAGCAACCCAAAGGCACACTCGATTACAACTCTTGTCTGGCATAGCTTGGTGTTGTACCTGGTCTGTTGTGGTGTTAACGAGCCAGTATCCTTGAAGGGGGTTATGAGCCAGGAGTGAAGAGGATAGGCTGTGTCAGCTACTAGGTGGTATGCATCACTCGGAAATAGCTTATGCTTGTCTGCTTCCGCTTGTATGAACAACTGTGAGCTATGTAAGACTCGCGAATCATGTGCTGAGCCTGGATACCCAGCAAAGCAATTGGTGAACTTCTTGGAGTTGTCACATACTGCCTGCAGAATAACAGAATGGGTCATCTTCCGATTGTTGTACTCAAGTTGGTGAGCAGATGGAGCCTCAATTGGAATATGTGAACCATCTAATGCTCCAAGCACTCCTGTAAAATAAAATAAAAATAATTCTTTATGTGAAAATGCTGAATTTTGCATCAAGGAAATACAAAAGTAATATGGATTAGAAGTCTTGCAAGTTTTACTTAAAATTCTAAAAAACATGTCATTGACTTTTCAGACCTTCCTTTGCTATGTTGTCAAAATTACATTACCGTACTAAAAATGAAGAAATTTCAAGTAAAGCAAAAACAGTTCACGATGAGTATACATTTCACTCGGGAGGGATTGAGATGGAAGTAGATATAAAAACAAACCAATAAATGTAGATCACTGGAGATTAGAGGATGAGTTTACAAAAACCTATTTTCCCACCAATTTGCAAAGGGCTGCCCATTTTCTGATAATATAGTATAAATCGATTACTGGAAATGGTGTTTCAGCCAATATTAGGATATTCAAAATGATATTAACCGCCTTCCACAAAACTGTTACCATCAACAAAAACGGTGGCACCTGACAATAAAATGCCGCATGTTTATGCTAAAATAAAATCACAGTGGTGTGTGTATGTGCATAGTTTTTGTTATGGAATATGCAAACCGGCAAATAGCAATTCAATTCTTGGGTATATTCAGGACAGACCTAGTTTGCAAAAATTACAGTACCTGGGAAATTAGCACGGCTCTTAAAGTCAGAGGTAACACTTGGCATCAGATGTGGAGTTGGCCAGTTGATGTATTTTTGAGCCAGCTTGTGTGCCACATGATGGGTCAGCTTATGAACGACGATGTGCACACTGCTTTTAGCAACATCAAACCTAGAATTGTGAAATATATTATTCCTGTTTTATTTACACTGATAAACTTGGCTACCTTTCAACCTGCCTCACATTTCCCACATTGTACAAGTAGAGTTTACACTCAGTAACATGTTATACTAGAGCAATGCCAAGCTGCAACAAATAATCAAATAGGATAAAACACACTTGCAATTAGCATTTGTGTGATTCCATAAATTTGGGGTCCAATTTTGGTGTCCCTGTTACATCTGACATGTGTAAGATTTTTTAATTCAGGGCACGTGTCTCTGACTCCAAGAGTGATTATGTAAAGCAAAGTACCTGCTAAACAAATAAAACATAGTGTGAAGTCAGTTTTAATGACACTTGAATGGCAAATTAACAGGTCAGGTGTAACAGGGACACCAAAAATGTCACACTTTTGGACCCCAAGTTTATGGAATGACCCATTTGCTTTTATGAACTAATCCCTGATTTTCTTCGTTTGTACCAGCACTGCACTAATTACACGTATTGTAGTGAATGTTTCAAATTGCGACCCCCTTACTGGTTTCATTTTACCCCATGGACATAAAACCACCACAGCCAAATATTTCCATCAAATGTTTTCATCATAAATGGTGAAATCTATTGATACAACCAGGCCCGTAACCAGGGGGGGGGGCCCAAAATCCAAAAAAAAAAAATCCGCCCCCCTCCAAAAAAAATCAAAAAAAAAAAAGTTTAATTCTGAGCATCATCCGTTGAACTTTTGCTCAAATTCATGTGCCACATCATAGATCACACCTCCTACCTCCATGGTCGCACCGACTGTGTTATGATGTTATAAGCAAACAAATTGTAAACACATAAACTTACCTGTCAGCAATTCCCCTCATAGATTCCTGATTTGCCAGATACCATAGAGTCAGCAGTGTCATCTTCTCCATGGATATGGGTTGATGGCCACCACAGTATCCAGGTTCCTTTAGCCCACTCTCTCCTTAGTTGAGGACATAAAAAAAATGTAATGTAGTAAGAATGAAGTGTTCATGTGATGGCACATATCTTCTTACATCATTTTGTTTTTTCGGCTCATATTGATATTTCAGTATTCGGTTTAATTATAAATAATTGATAGGCCCAGACTGGGACCCAGAGTGCTGAAAAACATGCAAAACTAAATCAGGCCACCTTGACTCATTCTTTAGCCAGCAAAACTGTACAAAATGGTCATTGGCCAAAGGAAAATATCATAGTATTTCACCAACCAAGTTTGAAGACTCAATTCAAGGAAAGAATTCCATACACGGCTACCCCTCAGACCCGCTGCACAAATTTAAAGTCTCTGGGCCATGACAGAAAAAGTCAAAGTATTTTTAAAGAAAAACTCCTCCTAAATTAGTGTTCCTTCATCAGATTTACAACTTATGGTACTTTTCAAGTCATATTAAGGAAAATGAGTTGCGGCCGAGTATGGAATTCTAAGCCAATTCAATTTATAAGAAACTTTTCTTCAATATTTTGCACGAGAGAGAAGTGGTTTCAAAATGAGGCTATAATAAAGACTAGACTCAGATGGTACCAGATACATGTCCATGATGTCCAACTGTTTGGAAAACACTGACCTCTTTCTTCATAGTCTGGTGGCCGACTATGGCCGTTTTCAAATACGAACATTAATTGTTTTGCAAAATAATCACATTTTAAACTACATTTCAGGAACAAAACAACACCGCTTTATATGTGTCTATTTCTATGCATAGGAGAGGATGGTCTTTACTATCTTGCTTTGCAGAGCCCAAACAAAATATGTTAATATAACAAAATTTGTTTATTAAGTCAAACACTAATTGCGCCTAATTTGAAAAAAAGCCTTCTTACCTAGGTCTGCCATTAGAATGTCGACAGTTATTCTGTCGAGACGAAAATGTGCCGAGAAATCCGACAGGCAATACCGAGGCACCACGATCTCCTGATATCCCTGCTAGGCGACCGCGCAACCGCGCGAGGGCGCTGTTCATTTTCCAGCGCAAAATGCCTATGGAAACGCGTAATGAAAAAATGGCCCTGAACACCATACATAAAACAGCCGTTTATCACTATCACATTTCAGTAATGGTTGTTTAGTGTCACTCGTCTGAAAATAGAATCTCCGCACATCAAAATGGTAGGTGTTTAGTTGGCAGACGATCGAGTTGTCTTTGGTAAATCTTCTGTCCAAGATTTTAGCGTAGAATTTCTAATTGATGTCAACTTTATTCATCTTTATATGCATGGATTTCTTGTGTATTTTATGTTTCTTTACTAGAAACTGTATTTATTTGAAAGGAAACTGTAGCGCGACTGGAGATATTTGCAGTGAAATATAGTTTACGCGGGAGGTGATTTCTGACCGTGTCGGGACAAAGTTTCGCGGGGGCTTCGTAGCGCGCGCCCGGCGGGCCCGGCGTCATTGGCGTGTGCTGGCTGCGCAGTGCGGTGTTCTTGCATAGCATAGTGTTACTCGCAACTGTGAATGCTAGTTTGTCACATCGATCGTGCCTTGTGCCTCTATATCTTCTCCTTCTTGCCCCAACATTCCCAAACCTCAACAAGTTAGTGACAATCTTCAATTGGTGAGTTTTTAATGATCTTTTTCTTAATTAAATTTTAATGCAAGGGAAAAAAAGGTTTGTTAATTTTTTTTTTTTTATCGATGATGATGTCTTGATTAGGTCCTGGACTGGCTTTTCAGAACTTTCATAGTTTCAAGGGTTATCAAGCATTATTATTATTTTTTTACTTTGCTGAACAAATAAAAGTTTAAGTTTAACATAGGCCTATAGTTGAAAGTGAAATTGTGACAGTAAAAAATGAACTGTTGGAGTAAATTCATGAATTGTTTTATTCATGTATTTTTCTTCTACATTTATTTTTTACTGGCACATTAAACATGGGTTAACCACCCGCAGGGGAACCCCTGCTCAATTTTTCCCCACTTTTTTAGTATTTAAATATTTTGCCTAGCCCTACAATTCAAAGTGGGTTAACCACCCATGGGGGACCCCTGCTCAATTTTTCCCCATCTGTTAATTGTTTGGAAGTTTAGACCTATTACTAGTCAAAAATGGGTTTACCACCCGCAGGGGAACCCCTGCTCATTTTGTTTTCTGTGGTTGCCTTTAGTACTCTTTACCAAACTAGTTTTAATATGAGAAGGCTTTCCTGATAATATTGTTAAAAAGAATTATTTAATATTTATATCAATTGGATTGTCAAGATTTATGTATGGCATCTCCAAAATTATGACGTTTCATCTTTATTTCTTTTGTAGGAAAATGGATGACATTGGCACATTCTGCTGTCAAGCAGGAATATCCCTCAAAAACATGCAAAGTAAAGAACCCTGTCTTCTGAAAGAGCCCCTCTCCAATGGTGCTGCCCTTGAAATTCTGAGCCTTATGGACAGAGGACACTCACAAGATGATGTGTACTGTATCATCAGAAAGATCTACCAAGATAATGGAGCATGGACTGAGCCATCAAAAGCCTGTTTGCTATCAGCTCTGCACCGTGTGAAGACAAAAGTAAAACTGTTGAGGAAAAATAAGTCTCACGTGACATCAACAGAATATCTTAATTCGGATTTTTCTTTACCGAAAACACCTCGAGATCTCGTCCACTCACATCCCAAACAAAGAAAACATAGGTGTGAGCAATGCAGTTGCCTTGAAACAACCACAGAGCAATTGGCAAAAGAACTTCAAGAAAAATCCAAGGAAGCTGAAACAGCAACTTTGAAAGCAGCAGCAAGTGAAGCAACAGCAAACAGATTGGTGATGTGCATAAAGAAGCTGAAGCAGACAATAAGACGGAGAAACCTACTCACACAGAAGTTGAAGCAAGAAGTCAAGCAGACATCCAATGCAACTTCTAAAATAAAATCACTTCGATCTGAAGTAAAAAACCTCAAAACACGAGTCAGAGAGCTTCAACAGCAAAAACGGAACTTCAGAAACTACTACAGCAAGAAGTACAAGGACATACGTGAAAAGAGTCCTCAAAGTCCACCATCAGGTGATGATCTCCTTCAAAAGCTTAATGAGACTAAAAACAAGGTCACAGAGCTAGAAATTGAGAAAGATATGTTGAAAGAGCAATTGGAGGAGCTCAAAGCTGAAGAAATATCAACACTGCGAGATGGTAAAACATTCAACTCATCTGTGAGGGAATGCGTCTTCTTTTGTACAAGTCGTCAGGTCTCTGCCACGAACATTTCACCAGTGATCCGTTACTGTGTTGAAAAATTCAGTGGAAAACAACTCGGAAAACTACCAGATGCAAGCACTTGTGAGCGAATGGTTCCCGAGATGAGAGAGATCTCAAAAATCCAGCTAGGGGAAGAGCTTATGTCATCAGTAGACACTACATTAAAATATGATGGCACCAGCAAAAAACGACGTCACTTCAGTGAAGTACAGATTGCTACTGCAACAGATACATTCACTGTGGGCATAAAAGAAATAGCGCGTGGTGACGCAGAGTCCTACGTGGAATCAATCAATGCGTCAATTGATAGTGTCGCAACTTCCTGTAAACAACCAGGGTTGAAAAAGACCATCCTCAGTAACATTGCGAACACTATGACTGACAGACATATTGTGAACAAGTGTGCTAACCAAAAGCTGGGGAATGAAGCTGACAACACAACCATCAACAATTTCTACTGTGGCATGCACCCATTAGATACGTTTGCCAAAACGGCAGACAAAACAGTTAAAGCATGGGAAGATGAAGTAAGCCCATCCTCAGGAACAACTTTGAGCTTCAGAAAACGAGGATGTAGTGCAGCTTTCGCCCTCATCCAATCAACGTGTCGTCTGTGTTTCAAAGATGGAGCAGGCCTCCCATCCGAAATTAAAGCCCACCTTCACATGAATGGTGTAAAGAAAAATCCACTACAGCCAATAATGGGAAGCCGTTTTCATGTTTATTTTCTTAATGCTGGTGCATGTTTTTTTCTTAAGGGCTTTCTTTTGGATTTCATCACCAAGGTCTGGGCTCCTACCAACGACTGTCTGAGAGCAGTGAAGCATGACCTAGACACTGAAAACTGCATAACCGCTTGCAGGGCACTTGGGCTAATCGGGAAATATCTGACAGGTCCGTGGATGAGGTTGATCGAGAGTGATGTTGGAATTTTGGAGTTAAACCAATACTACTGTGAAGCTGTGGAAACACTGAAAGGGTGGTCTGATGATGCCAGCGCTGTTGTCAAAGGATGTGCCCCTCCTGTATTTGGAGATATCTCTATGATCAAAGATGATGTTTTCACAGCACTAACCAAACCATCAAGCTCGGATAAGGCTACCTCTCAACTGCTTCAGAGACTCTTCAAGAACATATGTGAGGACTGTAACCGGCAGCTCGCAGACCAACTTCCAGGCGGCAAGTACAATCAACCCAATAACGACCTTCTGCAACAGGCACGCTCCTGCATCGGACATAACATTAGCGGAGAACGTGTCTTCGGTCAGCTAGACTTTGAAATCAAACGAGCACCAAATGCCAACATAACATACAGTGAATCAAAAATTATGTATCGGAACAACGACACCGAAAGATGGTTTTCATCTTCAGACAAAAAGGAAGTCCTACTTGAACAAGCAAGGAAACAAGCAAAACTTAGCCAGGAAGAAGACAGACAACACCAAAAGCAAGTTGACCAACTACGTAAGCAACAGCTGGAAGACAAACGAAATGATTTGGTACAGAAAGATGACGATCTAAGAGCATCAAGGGAGACTTTGCTAGAAGACATAACCAAACATGGGGGACTATGGAAATCTGAAAAGGACATGAATCAACATTTGAAAGACAAGTCCAGAACACAGCAGGTGATTGCTGTTAAGTTACAGCTAAATGTACGCAAAAAAATTCTTCAGCAGAAAGCTGGACCAGAACTGTTTGCATTTTCCGCTAACAAACGGACACATTCGCTGGAAACACTCCAAGCAAATTTGTTAAAACTGATCCAGGCTTCCAGTTCATCTGACTCCACACACATAGAACAAGTCCTGGGAAACCCATCATCACTGATTGGAAGAACTATCACTCACCTGTGGAAAGAAGAAAAAGAAGAGGTTTGGTGGGAAGGAGTTATTGCTTCAAGGGTGCAAGGCACTGATGAGTTTTTGATAGAGTACCAGGAAACACATGGAGAAGACAGTTTGGCGAATGTTTATTTAGAATTATCAGAAATCATTGCTGATATAAGAAGTGGAGATCTGAAATTTACTTGAAGACTTAAGGTAGGTAGAATTTTATTTACAAAAATAATACTAGAGAAATAACCAAGCCCATTTGTATCCAAACTTAATACTTGCTTTGTATTGTAAAACAATAAAATCAAAAATGACGCCGGGCCCGCCGGGCGCGCGCTACGAAGCCCCCGCGAAACTTTGTCCCGACACGGTCAGAAATCACCTGCTGAAAATGTAAGTTGTAAGTCGTTCAAGGTATGTTTGTAATTTAAAGTGTGTCGGAAGTTGCTTTAACTTTTTTAAGAAAACTAAAATGTTAACCTTTTTGCCTCTTAATCATCTTTTCAGCTCTCACCTTTATCATGACTCAAGACTCTGTACTGATGATGTGACACTTTGTTTACATGTGTGCAGCCGGCCTGGTGGGGACCACCGTTTTGTAGCCTCATGGAAAAGTACACAATGTGTGACATCGTCAGTACAGAGGCTTATTGTTATGTGTTATACTCAATTGTAAGTGTATGAATATTTTACCCCTGACCTTTGACCTCTGCAGATTGACCCCAAACCTCGACCTTGACCTGACCTTTGGACTATCTGACTTTTGTATTGTCATCACTGGACGTTACTATTAAATACAAGTTATACAACCATCATTTTTAACTTCACCGTGACCTTTGACCCGTGACCTTTGACCTTTGACCCCTGACCTTTGACCCGTGACCTTTGACCCGTGA